AACCGTGATAATCCTAAGAGCCCTAGACATATGCAGCAAACAAAAAAAAGGGACCCATATTATACCCCAGACTCTCTTGTAATCCTCGTTTCTAACTAGATTGGATTCATGTAAGTGTCCAAAACCACACAGACGGCTGCGGCCTGCCAGATGTGGGTCTGAGAGCGACAGCGTCTTGAGGCGATCTGGATATGGGGAGATCGCTGTACCCTTGGAAATAAACAGACCATTCTTGCTTCAGGGTTTAGGCCTTGGCTCAAGACCCCTCAACTTAGATCAAAGCTCTGCCTTTTCAAAACAACGCCCCTCGGAGGCCGCCGGAGGCCTCAGCCTGGCCCCTCGATGCGCGAAGAGAGGCTCAAAGCGACTTCGAATTCCAGTCACTTCTAGTTGTGGCTGTACTAGCAGAGTTCAAAAGCTTAAAACACCCCAATCCTTAAATTCCAACGCCACCCGAATAACCCCTTAACCCTGACAACCCTAAACCTTCTTAAAGCTTGAAAGGCTCCCCGCTTCCCAAACAAAAACAACAACACAATTAATGCACAACCAACCCCTGGCTCTAAAATGCCCAAAACCTTAGGTTTGTTCGGAGCGGAGGGCAGTCACATGCCCCAAGACTCCAGGCTCACAGGAACTGTCAGTTTTTGGCTTTCTAGTGGTCCCCTCGCGTGGCGCGGTATTAGACCAAAGACATGTGCATGAGCGTCGCAAATGCCAAACGAGGTGTGCAGGCGGTACTAAACATGTGGTGACAGCAAGGACCATGCGCATCCATGGCCCGAGCCAATCGTCAACCCTAAACCTACGTTTGAAAAAGCTACGCCCCGTGCTCTGTGGCCTCTGGGGCACAGCCGATGTGTGACAGTGAAGGTGACAGTTGCGTAGTTTTTAGATGTTGCAATGTGACCCTCAGCCGCTACCTCCAAACTCAGGAGAGAGAGCTTTCAAGTTTTCGTCTTAGGCTTCGCGGATTGTCTTCACGGCCGTCACGTTGTTTTGGAAATGTGGCTGAATGTCAATTTGTGTTTTGGATGGTTGCTTGAAGGCTTGCCAACTCTTTTGGGGTGTTAGAGTGTTGAGTGCTCTTTGAGGCTTAGGGTTTTATGGTCTTTAGGGTGAGGTTGCGGCTGGAACTAGAGCAGATATCGTTGAACACCCACATCACGAGGACAACATTTGCCTGGAGCGGGGACTGAAACTCGAAAGCCACGAGAATCAATTAGAATACGCTGAAAGGCTTGGCCAGTCGTTTTAGACTTCTGGCATTGGGGATCGGATTTGGCAACACGCCCTATCGCCTTATAGTCCGGGCAAACCAAGGCAAACACAAGCCCACTCCAATCCCGCAAAATTCAATAGCCCGCATCGCAAATTCAGCTTATAGGGAAAATGGCTGCAAGAACCCAAGTGTTCTTAGTGTGGTGAAGCCGGAATCCTTAAACCTTCAATCTTTTCAACCCAGAGCTTGTATTCGTGCTTGAATGTGTGCCTAAAATCCCACCAGAAGTTGAAAATTTGCAAGATGCTTAAACCAGGAGGTTTCTGGTGTGCCCGTGCAAGATTGCCCAAGAGCATTTGCTCATCCGACATCTCTCAAGAAGTGTACACAACGGCCAAGGCAAACCGCAAACGAGTCAGCAACATCAAGGTGTTTGTTCCTTTCCGGCAGAGAGCTATGCTGGCGAATTTCAAGTTCTGGCGACTGCTGAAACAACCAACACTTGATGTCCCAGCCACTGATTTTGTGCAATTATGCTCTTTGTCGTTCACCCACACGATGCCACATGTCGAACTAGGCCGCCCTAACTTGCCTAACACCAAGCTAAGCAGCAGATCTCCTTTGGAGACCGAGACGGACGTGCTGCACGACAAAAACTGCCTTGACTATTGCCAATGTGGCTGCTTGTCGACGCTAGGCCAACAAAGTGTACACATGTGCGAAATGATTCGGACCTCTTCAAAACTCTTTCGGCAAACAGTACGACACTAATCCGTGAACAAACTGGGAAACTGGGTAGTGTTGAGACATCCTCGCCTCACATGGCTTGCGTCCAGACTCGGTCTTCAGCTCAGCACTGGCATTTTGTAGCTCGCGTGGAGCAGGCTCAGCACCTGGTCAGTTTATCACCAGGACGCAAACATGACCGGAAAATGTGGAGCCTTCCAACAAATGATGAGGAAAAGTTAGTTAGCCAAAAGGGGACTTATAGGCTCACCGCCTGGTCCATCTTCTTCTCCATGCGTTGCATCTTGGCCTCCAACGCTGTGCGAGTGCTTCGAAGCTCCTCTTTAGGTGCCTCACGCCGGACGAGCACCCAGATGAAGCAACTCGAGGCCCGGCTGATGTAGAAGTGCTCTTGAGCTGGTGTCAAATACAAGCCCAGGAAAACGATGCGGCACCAGTGCTTCAGGCAGTCCCATTTGAAGACTAGGGAGAAACATGCGACGAGAATTAGCATGGTCAAGGAAAGCAGAAACGGCACGGGGCAGATCAGGCAAAGGATTGCTGTGGTCAGCTTTCCGAGGCGTCTCTCTGAGAACTTACGGTCAATCCACATGAAAACTTCACTTCCGAAGACGCCAACGAGCGGCAACAGGCTCAAGCTTAGAATGCAAGGTGCAAGCAAATGGTCTGCGGACCACTTGAGTTGGTCTGGCTCCAGCGACTCCGTTCGTGTGCCGAAGCTGCGCCAAATTCTGGCCCAAGGGCGCTGATGATGCTCCAGAAGCATCTTAGCCCTTGATCGGGCGAACCTCAGTGTTTCAGCTGCTCTTGCTCTCATGACCAGCGCTGGTCAATGCAACATCACTTTCGGCCCGCATCTTGGCTGGTTGACGGAATCGAACGAACAACAGCCAAACATGAGCAAGTACTTGCTGCAATGCCCAAGAGACAGTTGAGCGGCCTGATCCTGAAACAGCTCCAAGTTTTGGCCCAAGACCGCAATGAATATATTCATCAGGAGCACGGCCAACCCGATACTGGTCACGAAGAACATCAGATGGACGTAGATGTAGTCCTCTCCCGGCTCAGGATCTTGCGGTACCCATCCTCGGTTGCAAGTGAGGGGTGGGTTTGCGCTGTAGATCGCATGCCCGGCACTGTGTGATGATTGGTCACTTGATTTAAGACACCTTCATAGAGCTCTTTATGCAAGGTAATGGCATGGGCCTTGTGTGCGCCTCCAGCGAATCTACGAGGATCTGCTTGGGAGATTCTGCATTTGCCAACGACAATCTGTTGGAGCTGTACTGGGTTCATGGGGGCCATGATGCTTGTTGCAAGCAGCTTGTTTCACATGTTTCACGCAGCTTCGCACAATCATAGGGTTCCTATGTATCTTGCAAAGGTATTCTGAACACAAGGTTTACGTGCATCCCAGCCGCTCTCCGAAGCGCCATCTGCCACGCGCTCATACTCGACATCCTTGCCTTCGAGCTCGAACAAATCAAAATCACCCAGAATACCCAGGCGAAAGGTTTGAATCAAGGACATGTAGGCAGGGAAATGGTCGTCACCACGGAGCGACAGTTGATAGTATGCGTGAGCTAGGGCAAACACGCAAATGGTCGTTATGAAGAAGAAGGCCGCAGTGTCTTTAATCGCAGCTAAGATTGGCAGGAGTCGGGGTCCAAGCCACTTCTCTCCGCGCATGCTGTAAAGCATCCGCAGCCAAGCCATGCCACTGAAAAAGGCAATCCATCGCTTGGCAACTGTGTCGTCCAAGTCCAGAATGCCCAGCTGCTTGCTGATCACGATGTGTCCCGTGACACAGTAAACGGTGTCCAATAAAAAGTCCCCACTGGTGAACACAGGGGCTGCCTTCACCGATCTTCCTTGCGTGCATTGCTTCAGTCTGGACAATGAGCCGTAGCAGCCACGCAAACACTCAAACAGCCATTCAGCCGTTTCTTTTAGGTGAAGTGCTGCAAGGACAACGACAATGGTCTCGGGAGGTGCTATGAAATCCGGACCGTGGTAATTCAGTGACATGATGCACAGCATCATAACATTGAGGATGTTTAGAAGTATATCCATCATGCTCGTCCAGCGATGTTGAACCCAAGCAGCAGAAAGGATTGCATAAACGGTATCAGACTCCAGCGTCTCTTTGTTCGCTGTTACCGCCAAAGCCCCGAGGATGCTCGGGTAGCACGCACAATGCGCTGGCAAGCGCAACAGCTTTACGTCGACCTGGACCTTGGGATATTCGAAGAGATTCTGATCCACCTGGGCCAAGTAGTATGGAATCTCGGCTTCCTCTGCCACGCGGAGCTTGGATGCCACCATGCACCCAACTCTGCTGGGAAGGCTGGTGAGCTGCTCTCCATGTGATCGGAGCAATGCGTCCACGGTTTCAGTGGCATGGGGCCCTTCCGTGCGCAACAGTGCACAGAGCAACTTCATGTCTTCCTCCTGGTCGTGTAGCTGAGCGCCAGCCTCCAGCAGCATTGCCACGAGATCCACAGAGTTCTCATGGAGCAAAGCCAAGGCCAGCGAAGAGCAAGCGGATTGAACACAGTTAGCATCGGCTCCTTCCTCCAGCGCTTTCGCCAAGCCAATCAAGCTGCACGATCTAATCGCCTCGCGCAGCTTCTCGTCCGGGGTAAGGCAGACAGAGCTTCCACCCAAAGGCAATGGCGAAATACCGGTCATCATGCAGGGCAGCCGTGTGCTGAACACATTGGTGATGTCTGCTAGTGTCAGCCAAGTCTATTTTTTAATGCTCGAATACATGAAGCTGGCCCTACATCTTGCAACTCTGCCAGAATTGCTAGAATCGGTCAAAGCTGCGAATCAAGAGGTTGGAGATTTACAAGCGCAACAGAAAACTGCCGGCCTCTCCGGAGCTGTGCACAAGCCCTTGCAGGAAACACAACACAGCGACTCGATAGAATACCGGTTTCTCAGAAGAAAGGCTTCCGAAGTCAGGTGCACCTGCACACCGCGAAACGGTGCGATTCCATAGCATCTTGCTGTTTCTCTTCTACAACTTTTAGTGCAAAGGGTCTGAAACCTCCAGCTCCTCAAGAAGCAAACCCAGTGGCGCTGGCTGCAGCAAGGAGGAACCACTTTTCGACAGCCTCAAAGTTTTCCTCGCTGCATCCTGGGCGCCCTTCACACAAACGCAGTGCACATGCTCAGGCATAAGGTGTGCAAAGGCCTTTCCCCTTCCTTGGTTGGAGCATCATGCGTCGGAAAATCCATATGGCTGGACATTGAACATGCCCTGCACATCAACATCGTGATGCAAAACGAGTCTGACAGCTTCAGGTCCGGCGTGTATCCAGCTGCCAGGCGTCCCTTCAGCTGTGGAGGCCACGACCAGACCAACGATCAGACCGTAGAGCCCCAGAGCCTCTGACTGTGCCAACGAAGGCAAAATCGGAACCGGCAGCATGCATTCAGCATTCAGAGCCCTTGCTTCTGCACGCGACGCTTGGTTGGCCCTCCCTTGCAAAGGTGAGCAGCGACTCCCGTAGGCATGCCAGGAACTTTCCTTACTTTCCTTAAGTGTACATGGGTTCGGGCAGTATAAGATGTGCTGCAAGCTTCAACCGTAGCTTGTGACAACGGGAAGTCGCCGCCCCGCTCCAAGCACGAGCCAGCCCTGGCAGCGCTAACCCTTGCGCCCCTGCGAAGATAAGAATCAAGATCATGCCAACCTGTGACGCACTTATGCGAAACAGCCAGTGTCTCTCTCCGACCTACTTGCTGACTTATGCACCCACATGTGCTCCAAGCACAGAAGCACAGCTTAAGACGCCCAAGTCGAAGTGTGACTTGCAAGAAGCTAGCTGGACGCGAGTAAACTTCGTGTAATTCGGTTGAAATTGTGGGCGCGGTAAAACAAAGCCGGCAGGGCTAAGGGTTCTGCGCGGAGCCACAACGAAATCTCAATGATCTTGAACAAATCCTGAGTCGTCCTGAGACGAGACACGAAGAGACGTGGCTGCTGCGCCCACAATGCCGATTGCGAGACCGCAGCCAGGGAGCTCATGCCAACGGTAAGTCCTGGCAAATAGGCTCTGTCAGCTCTGTACAAGCTTGAAAAGCCACAAACAAAGGACTGAGCCTACACAGATGATGGCACCTGCTCCCAAGTGCGCAGGCCGAGTAATTGGCTGCGTTCATCTTGCCGTTGATGATTACCGCTGTGATCAGGCCTGGGCTTCTTGGGGTTGAGGTGCATGCGATCTGAGCAGCCGGATGGGCGCGGTTTAGGAGGCTTCACGGATGCACACGGAGTCTAAGAAGCAGCAAAGCTGAGGCAGGTACCATAGATGCTGAGTACACCGGCCATGACCACCGGAATGATGGACTTCATGATCATGTCCGGACGCATGACGCCCATCGAGGCGATTCCAACTCCAGATTTCGCTGTTCCATAGGCCTTGGAACTTCTGAGACGACAGACAACAGGGAGTGCGAACCGCAATTTCGAAGCACGAAAACATGCCTTACCTGTTTTCTTTGTTGGCCAACACCAATGAAAGCAGAAGTTTGGAAGTTCTTCAATCTCACAAAGTGGACCATGGACTACCGGCGTTTCGAAGTTCGGTGTCTTTTATCCTCATGGTCATAGTCTCTGCCCGTTTAGCACTCGAAGGGCTGTCTCCCAGCAGTAACCCCTGCTGACTTAACATGTATTAGATTACCAAAGTTTTAATTCTTAGGCTTTGCTGGGAGATTAACATTCTTGAGGTTCGTGTTACGCACATCAAATTTCAACCTGCATGTGCAAAGCCATCACCCTCTCTCAGGCTGTCCTTTTCTCTTTCACTCTCGCCTCCTCCGCAACTGTCAATTTCAAGACGCTTCAGCTGCGACTGCAACCGGGCTTCCGCTCCCAAGTTGGCGAACACCAGAGCGGAGGAAACCCTCATGAAGCCGAAGAATGCCGAAGAAGGATCCTAGGCAGCAGGGCGGGCCAGCTGCAACATGGCCATCCGGTTAAGCAACAAGCCTTCTCATGTACTGCGTGTGACCCAAACAAATGCAAACCGAGACACGCAAGGCTGCATGATTCCACAGGTTAGGACCAAGAGCAAGCTATGGCGCAGAATCCCACTTCGAAAAGGCCACGGGGATTGTGCATGAATCAACAGCTTTGCATGACCGGCTTCGAGTTCAGGGGCTCTCCGCACAATCGCGATTCTAGTCAACGACTCCCTCTGCCTGGCATGGTCACTGCTTCGCCCACACATTTGGAACTGACACGTGAGCCCATTCCGACTGCACTTAGCCTGGTCGTCTCATGACCGGTAACTGAAAGTGAGGCTAAACAAATCACACCCGAAGTTGGCATGTGCCTGCACGTCGCATCCTTCTGGGAGACGCGCTGGTTAAATCCGCGGCAGCCGTTCGGATCGATACAATAGGCATAGCCTAGTGGCACCAGACTCACCGAGAGGCATCGTGACAGCATGGCTGCTTCGGCGAAGGAGCTGTATGGTCGACACACTGCGCATCTTACGGCGTACTCCCTTCAAGGCCGTCGTCAAGTGCGTGCTCAGCGCCAGCATGCAGCGGCTTGTTACTGCTTCAAGGCTTTCGTTTGGACCGTTGACTTTTCTGAAAGGGATTCGTAGCGTGAGCAAGCAATGGGTCTACACATATAGGATTCTAGAGACTGCTTTGTGAAGGCTTATGCAAAATCGTCAATTCACGCCACGTCCAACGAGATCGTTCCTGACAACATGGCTTGACAGTAGAGGATGTTGAGGGAGACTGTTTGTATTGCTTGTTCCCTAAGACTGAGGCTAACACAAGTTGGGGACAGGTTTGCGGCATTGTTCCTTCAAGCTAGCAGTCAAAGAGTGTCACAGAGTGGCTCTTTGAAGCATGTCTGTCTGTAAGTACGTGATAGTACGTATGCATATGAGATTATACTATGCTACACTAACTCTATCTTCAGCCATAACAGATAAGGTCACAGTTACAGTTACATCATCATGTGATATTCATATGTGACATACATATCTCTTTGTGTGTCTCTAATGCGCGTGACATACATATCTCTTTGCGTGTCTCTAATGCGCGCCTGTGTGCACGTGCACACGTGTGTGTTCAAGCAGAACAACTTCAGCAGAACGAATTCAACAACATCGTATGTGCACTGTACACAGACAGCCCCTTGTTTCCTTTGCTACGTAGCATGTGCACATACGGTGATATACGGTTTTTGAGTGAACCAACATCCACTGCGTGTGCTTAATCACGCTTTATCGTCTCCTGTTCATGGTGACAGCTGGAGGCGACAACGTTCACACGGCACCACAGCACCAGCAGGTTGAACTTGGGTTTCGGGGACCTCTTGCACAGAGACACACACACACCCACCAATACAAGATGAGCCAAAGGCTTTTGGAACGCGAGTCGGGCAGGGCGTCTCAAGATTCTCAAGAAATCTGGAGAGCCATCATGCGGGTTTCCTTTGAACGCCGGCCTTGTTTCCGACCCGCAGCGGTGAAGGAAAGGGTCAGCATTCCCAATCTCCGAACATACGAGACTTTTTGAATGGCGTAGTAACTATCGACGTCCATGCTGCAAAGTTGTGCGAACCCACATGTGGGAATGCAGCAACTTTACGCGTACAGCGTGGCGGTCACGTCCACTCACACTTCACCCTCCAGGCAAACCTGCACCGAGACATGTTCATGACAAAAACGGAAGGTGGCGCACAAAAGCCGGCCTTCTCCGTCGGCTCTGCGAAGGGACTGGCCCGGGCTCCACGCACGGCACTGGGCCTCGAAGCTCTGACGACGCCTTCCTATGCATTCTGCGAAGACTGCGAAGACCTGAGCTTTCGGCTCTGCAGACGCTGTGGGAGCACTGGGTGGGACTGACGGTGGAGGAGTCGGTGGAGCTTTCCTCACATTTGTCTCCGTAGGTGAGGCATTAACTTTGGTGGGTACCGGTGCTGGTGCGCCTGCTTGAGGGCGACTAGGTGTGGGGCTGGAGTTTGGCAATGGTGGGCCTGCTTGAGGGCGACTAGGTGTGGGGCTGGAGTTTGGCAATGGTGGGCCTGCTTGAGGGCGACTAGGTGTGGGGCTGGAGCTTGGCAATGGGGACCGGGCGAAGCAAGGCGCTGGTGATGACGACACCGGCGCAGGCACCGTGCCGGCAGGCGGCACCTGCGCTGGCACCACAGCTACAGGAGGCACTGACACTGGTAATGGCACTGCGGGCGCTGCAGGCGGTGATGCCGCTGGCGTGGCTGCTGCAGGAGCTGCTGACGGCCCTGCAGCTTGCACACGCGGTACAGCTGCGGCAATGCGCTCCAGTCGATCTATGAGGGCGTGTTCAAGGCGATCAAGACGACCTTCGATTCGAGAGAGATCCACATCACCCCTGCCCTGAAGCTTGTTCTGCTTTAGCTCCTTGCCATAGCCAGGAACGCCTGACATGGTCCCAATCGACCCGAGGTCTTTCGACATCTTCGAAGCAAAGGCTGGGGAAGTGCGGCTGCGGCCGAGGAATCGGCCAAGGCGAGTGAAAATGGCTTGCAAGCACCGCATGCCCAGCACCAGGACAAGGGCACCGAGACAAGAGGCAACAAAGACCACCACGAAGCAACCGGGGTAGGCAGCCCCAAAGCAACACAAAGCAGCAGCCTGCAAGTATGGCTTGGCCATCGCCCAGCAGCTTGTTACCGATTGTGCTGCCAGAGTACGGCAGGACCCCACAAGTTCGGGCACGTTCGCCCACATGTGCCAGGCTGCGACAGCATATTCTGGTATTGCTTTGACCCATGCAGGTGCACCTTCCAGCGGGTCAGTCGCACCAACTTTGTCATGGGATGGTTCAGCCTCACAACCTGCTGAAGAACTGAGCTTCTGCTCGAGCACAACAACCGCTGCTGCTTGCACACTGGCCTTATGCTGAGCTTCTACAACCTCTTTGGCCTTGTTCGCCAGCTCTGCTTCCAGCTCTGCCAACCTCCCCGCACCGCTGCTGTCGGCTGAGACTTTGAGCCTCTGCTCAAGCTCACTGACCTTGGCTGCATTGGCGACATTGGCCGCTGCTTCCACCCTGGCCTTACTCTGAGCTTCTTCAACCTCTCTGGCCTTGTTCGCCAGCTCTGCTTCCAGCTCTGCCACCCTCCCCGCACCGCTGCTGTCGACTGAGACTTTGAGCCTCTGCTCAAGCTCACTGACCTTGGCTGCATTGGCGACATTGGCCGCTGCTTCCACCCTGGCCTTACTCTGAGCTTCTTCAACCTCTTTGGCCTTGTTCGCCAGCTCTGCTTCCAGCTCCGCCAGCCTCCCTGCTTGACTGCCATCTGCGACTTGGAGCCTCTGCTCAAGCTCACTGACCTTGGCTGCATTGGCGACATTGGCCGCTGCTTCCACCCTGGCCTTACTCTGAGCTTCTTCAACCTCTTTGGCCTTGTTCGCCAGCTCTGCTTCCAGCTCCGCCAGCCTCCCTGCTTGACTGCCATCTGCGACTTGGAGCCTCTGCTCAAGCTCACTGACCTTGGCTGCATTGGCGACATTGGCCGCTGCTTCCACCCTGGCCTTACTCTGAGCTTCTTCAACCTCTTTGGCCTTGTTCGCCAGCTCTGCTTCCAGCTCCGCCAGCCTCCCTGCTTGACTGCCATCTGCGACTTGGAGCCTCTGCTCAAGCTCACTGACCTTGGCTGCATTGGCGACATTGGCCGCTGCTTCCACCCTGGCCTTACTCTGAGCTTCTTCAACCTCTTTGGCCTTGTTCGCCAGCTCTGCTTCCAGCTCCGCCAGCCTCCCTGCTTGACTGCCATCTGCGACTTGGAGCCTCTGCTCAAGCTCACTGACCTTGGCTGCATTGGCGACATTGGCCGCTGCTTCCACCCTGGCCTTACTCTGAGCTTCTTCAACCTCTTTGGCCTTGTTCGCCAGCTCTGCTTCCAGCTCCGCCAGCCTCCCTGCTTGACTGCCATCTGCGACTTGGAGCCTCTGCTCAAGCTCACTGATCTTGGCTGCATTGGCGACATTGGCCGCTGCTTCCACCTTGGCCCTATTCTGAGCTTCTTCAACCTCTTTGGCCTTGTTCGCTAGCTCTGCTTCCAGCTCCACCAACCTCCCCGCACCGCCGCTGTCGGCTGAGGCTTTGAGTCTCTGCTCAAGCTCACTGACCTTGGCTGCATTGGCCGCTGCCTCCGCCTTTGCTTGCTTCTGAGCTTCTTCGACCGCTATGGCGTTGTTGGCGAGCTCTGATTGGAGCTCTGCCATTCTGGCTGCGCAGCTGGTTTTCGCTTCCTCAGATTCTCGCATCTGCACCTGTCAGTTTATTCCCGCACATGCAACATGAATGGGCTTCGAAAGCTTCTTACTCAGACAGATGCTAAGTGCCCGTTATGCACCTCGGACGCCTGATGCCGAGCACAGGATGCTGCGCAGCTGGCGAGCATAAAGGACCTCGGCTGAAGCACAAGCTGTCCCAGGCGAGGTTCGTCCTCTCTCAGCTCCGAACGGATTGGACGCACATTGCCCCTGGAACGAGTGAGTTCTCATGAGACACGCTCAACATCAAGCCCGCAGTCCAGCGCCAACTCTATATCTATATCTATATCTATATATATATCCAAGTTGTGATTGCTCTAGGAACTTCCGCTGAAAGCCCACCTGCCCTTGCGAATCTCATCACTGTTAACATGCGCAGTCAACGCTGCCATGAACGCAACAGTTTGCAAACTGTACAGCACGAACAGGACAGTGTGTTGTCAACCGAATTCTTTGTCACTGGCCTGGCACATGGAATCGATACTCTCAGCATCTCTCAGTACACCACGTCCCATGCTTCGCTTCCAGCATACCGCAAGTCCATGCTGGGCAAGCTTCCCAACCCATGCTGAAGTTTGGAAGGCCCGCCTGAGCAGCCCAGCATTTGCAGTCAAACTCCTTAGTAGTTGAGCCAATCGGCAGTTTTCCAAAGCATGCCAAGTCCGAGGCCCTGGCCAAGTGGCTGTCTTTGAGATCCTTAGAGTCTCACATGTCTCACTCATTTTTGCTCTCACTGCTCACCGGAGAGGCAGGCCGAGGCCCAGGCCTCCGCGGCTGCAAGAGCCAAGACCAAGAGACGGAGATGAGCAAAACCCATACTGTGCTTAGGCTGTGCGGTGCTCAAGTGCTAGAGACGGAGATGTTCTAGGTTGACGGAAACCGAGAGCTGGGGCCTGCAATCTGCACGAACTACTTCTCCTCTTGCTTTCCTTGCGCCGTGCTTTCCGAAAAAGACATGCCACATTCACCATTCTTATCTTTCCTACAGACCAACACCGACCCACTTTGCCGGCCATCAATTTCCCGAAGGGCCTTTGTGAGATTTTAACTCCACAAGATTCTTCAAGCTTTTTGGTCTGACAGTGAAGTCGTACTGTACATGTGTCAATCTAAACTGTGCTGGAGGGGTGAAAATGCGAAGCTCTTGCAAACTGTTCCCCGTCTCACTCTGTGTCTCGTTTCAGAGGCCTCCCAATGGTTGAGCCCTTCGGCTGATCCGGGGAATCTCTGCGGAGGTGAGATCGAGCAGCATGGGCAAGCCATTTTGAAAGAACCACATGCAACAGAAACCCAGCAAACGCGATGCCCAATGCCAGCCAGCCTGCGAACATGACAAGATTCGCCACGTTGCCATTTAAGCCGCCCAGTTCAATTGCTGCACCGATGCTGCTCGTGATGCTGAAGCTTCTGAAGCAAAACTTTTCGCTAAGTATGAAGTCGGTGGATAGGAGGAAGCCTGCCAGCAGCAAGCACGCTGCTGAAGTGAATGCGAGGAACTTCTGACCACACTTCATATTTGTCCACTCACTAGCATTGCGTAATGCCTCGGTGTACACAGCCTCTTTGCGAGTGAGTTCTGCAACCGCATCATGTTCTGGGCGTGGCATAGCAAGGGTTGGACCATCCTCCTCAATGACCTTCATGATCCGATAACTGACGAAGAACATGGCAAGTGCCTGAACAATAGCTGCTGCCATAGTAACAGAGCTGGAAACCATGCCCATAATGCCCGATTTACCGTCTGCCAGTGTCTGAAATGCACCCACGAGTACTTGTGGTGCGATGCTTACCAGAATAACCGGGGTGGTTCCTAGCAGCATTTGGGGGATGTTCAGCCTCAGAATGCCGCAAAGAACGCTCGTGGGCCAATCCGGACCAGCTACAAGAATGCCAACTTTGTCAGGTTTCAAGCCATTTTGCTTGAGAATCTGCTCCATTGCTCGAATTGACACCTTGTCAACGCCAACGAACTGTTGTACTTTGACTGACCTTCCCATCATATAGCCCAAGCCGTACTGCAGGCAGCAAGCAATCATCTTGGCTAAAGAACTTAAGGCAGAAGCAGAGATGACTCCAAGAGGAAATCCGACTGATCCTGGCAGCTGTGACTGCGCGCCAAAGATCACACCAGAGAACAAATACACAGCGCTCCCAGGTACGATCGGACATAGGAACATCACCAAGGCGACGCCCAGCACCAAGACTGCCAAAACTGCGAACGGCAACTCTGCAGCAGCCAGTGTCTCGTTCAACCAGGAAAAGAACACGTAGGTGACCTTCATGCCGACAATTAACGCAACGAAAATTTCTCCCAGCACGACGATCTTCAGAAAAATGCTGCACCAAGTCCACTTGCTCATCTCGACAATGATCTGACGACCTTCCTTGGTAAATGGAGAAGTATCATCGCTGGGAGCCAGACCTGTGCAGCGTCGGATTTTCTGCCTGAGCCTATCTAGTATGGCCAGTGTGGGAACGAACACATTGAGGCCACCAATGACCAAGGCCTTCATCCAGTCAGACTTGGCTATTGAAATCAAGCTTTTGGTCAAGCCATCTTCTTGAGTACTTTGGTGAAGTCTTTCGAATCCAAACTCGAGTAACATGAACAGCAAAATCGCCGTCATGGATCCGGCTCCGAGTGCAAGCAACGCAGAGCTTACAGTAACATCTGCACCGGAGACGTACTGAGCACTGTACATCATTCCGAGCATAAGGACAATCAGTGATGCACATAATTTGAGAACTTTCTGGAAATGCTGCGCATCGCCCTCTCGTTCAAGCTCGAGAGCAGAAGCTGCTTTGGCAAAAACCCAACATACTCCGGCGACTACGGAGTTGCAAATTCCCAAAGCACAAGGTGCGGCCCACTGCAGGAACCAAACTGTCTCCGACTTCTGGCATGCTGATTCTATGGCTGCGGCTTCATCATCCGCCAAAGTCGTTGGTAAACTTATGCTGGTACCATTAATGCTGCAGTAGTTCTGGAACTCCCACGATGCATTTCCATATATATAGCTGTACACAGCCCCATTGTTGATCGCGAGGCGACTTCTCGTTGACGAGCTCCAAGTGTTCTCGGTGACACCTTGCCACCCAATCCAAGTGGATATGAGCAGAAACGCAGCAACTACGAAACTCATGGCAACTGCACCGAAAAAGTCTTGGCCAGGAACCGTCGCTGGCTTAAAGTGGTGCACACGAATATAGGCAACTGACGCCACTGCCACGCCGAAGCACACGAAACCACCCAGCCACGGGTAGCTGATGTACTTTAGTGTTGCTGCTGCTAAGAAGCAGCAAGTGGACAGAAGTGCTACCGTCAGTCTAATGCAGATTGGCCGACGATGAGCATCAATCACAAAAGCAAAAGCTAACAGAATTGCACACATCCCAGCCATTCCGTTACCTGCCAGGTCAGCTGTGCTGTTCGCCATGTGCTCAGCAACTTGTGGTGCAGCCCCCATGCTGGAAAAAGCCACCAGAGCAACAGACTCTGGCAGACCGATGACCAATAGAGCAGCGAAAACCATTTGCCAAACAGGCGCAGCATCCCCATCTCGAATGACCGACATGCTGACCACTACATTCTACGAGATACTTGTTGTTTACGAGTAAGACTAACCTCGAGCCAATCCGTGAATCCGTCCAAGCTGCCAGTCCGCAGAACCTCAGTAACATGTCGCTTGCGAGAACCCAGCACGACATTGCGTGCTGCAGCCCGGGCTGGAAATCCTTCCCACTTGCATGCTCGGCGTGGCGCTTTGTTGCTTTTGGCGGCCCGTCTCTTCAATTGACCTCCAAATGAAACTACCGAGGGCATTGCTCGGCTAAACCTAGGGAGAGTGACTCAAAGCACCGCTGCGCCACGTCTTATGACGCAAGGCACATGCAATGCGTGAGCTGTGACACGAGATCCTAGGCAAACGTCTTCACACAAGCTTACCACAATAAAGATACAGTCTTTTGTCGGAGTCGGACCTGCGACTTCAAGGCTTGGAAGCACATTCTCAAAAGTGGGCGTTCAAGCACGGTGAGCAGCTCAAACTCGGCTTGTTTCTTGAGCCTCTTGAGGTACGAGTGGTGTGCCTCCGCCTCCTGCAAATTTACCATGTCGCGTTTTTGCGTCTTGAGATCCCATTCGAACCAACACTGCGAGCTTCTGGGTGACAGTTGCTTCGGCTCGTGTGCTGTCATACCAGAGAAAGGTGTGTTGGGTGGTGGTATCTGCACCACCTTCTGAAACCTGGCAACGACGAAAACCATGTGATCGGGCAAGGAATCCGTCACAAACGTTGCCACTTTGAGCCGCGTTTGCGACAGGACAACAGTGACCGCCATCGCGAAGGTTTTCTTTGATGCAAAGTCTCCATGTTTCTGGGCGACCAGGGGTTCGACTATGATGATATCACCAATCTGAACTTCCGCTCGGAAGGCTGTCCCAAAGCCGACGACTTCGTCTCCGGAGACGTCGATCTTCCCGGTGCCGGCACTAACAAAAAGAGTCCCCATGTTGAGAATCTGTGGAAGGCTGCCTTCGCCAGACCACTTGCCCATTTCCATGACAGCTCTCTCCGCCTCCGGTCGTAAAGTGCTCGGATCATACTCCATGCCGTCGATATGCAGTACACCAGAGGCACTTTGACCATCGTCATTTGATTGATTCTTCCGGTGGATGACCGCACACATCTCTTCAAGAACAAGTTGCAGAGACATGTGGATATTCAGAATGCACTCGTTCATCTTGAGACATTTGGCTCGAACCTCCCGCAATGCAACCGTGCAACCGTACAACTCAACTTTTGCCAGGTCTTCTTTCGTCACAAGGGCACCTTTCGTGAAGTCATCCACCTCGCTGTCCAGTGCCAGCTCAACACTGCACATGTGCATGTGGACACCTTATGCCTTATGCACCGGCACATCTACCTCCCTGTTGGCTCCAGGAAAGCAAACCTAGATAAATAACTATTAAATAAAACTTTGCAAACGTGCAGATGCGCGTGCGCCCATCTCGAAGGAGAGATGCAGATGCATAAATTCTTCAACCAAAGTGATACTGAAGCTCAAGTCAAAAAACGAAATCACGTTACAGTGCGACTGTCATGGGATTGCATGTGGGAGTCCGAGGTTCAGTCTCATCCTGTGTTCCTGTTTCTCTTTGGCAGAGACCCTCATTTCAAGTCTAGCCAAGGCAGACACGGAAGAATATGCGGCAATTCACGCCAACAAAAGATGGTCAAGCAATCTATAATACAGAGAAACAGCATGAACTAGACCAGCCAAAATTAGCCGTATCAGTTCAAACATTGCAGAATTAAACCCCGAACAAAAACACCTGAACCGCACTCACCACCTACAAAATGAAAGCACGCAAGCAACTCTGTACAACACACCAACCCAAACACATCCAGAATACTTCCACACTCCCGGCTCCAAGGTATAATGACCCTTGCTTTCTAGGCTTCTTCGCTTGTCGGTGGTTGTGTGCTTTCTTGGTTTGTTTGTCTGGCTTTTGCAATCCTGGTTTCGGTAGTGGGCTGGCTTTCTACCATTCCTGCGGTGACTCCGAACGAGGTCTAGCAGAATGCCAAATCGTCTTTCTACTACCCTCAAAACTTGTCGGCAATCCTCCCAAACAGCCCGCTTCGAATCTCCGAAGACGCACACAATGAATATCGGTGCTAGGTCGTGCTGCTTCCCCGATTCAATCACAGTGGCCGGCAAGTTAGAGTTGCGTTTGGTTAAGTACGGTTCGGCCTGCCTTTTTCGCGAAGTTTATGTGACTCCGGGGAAGAAGGCATTGTTTTCGGTCTATAGTACACGCAAGTATGTGCAAGCAGTGCTGCCTTGTGAGATCACTGTGGTTTAGCCGAAGTGGTCAACTATGATTTCAGTGAAAACGAAAAAGAGCAAACCTCGAAGTTTTACACAGGCCAGAGCACAAACGAAACAACGAATTTAGCATAGTTCGAATATGACTTTCTAGCCGTCAGAACTCTTGGTCTTATGAAGTCTGTCCCGGCGAAAGAAAGCTAAGCCGGCGAGAAGAATGTATATGTAAATGATAAGGGTTGGGTTCAGTTTTTCTCATGCAGTATGTCCAGGTTCAACGAGGTCGTACCCTCCATCCAAGCAGTGGCAAGCAGTCTACCGAACGTACTAGAAATCCAACGCAGTTGCTTTAACCTCTCTGGTCAATTTCGACTATGTACCTCTCGTAACGTAGAGAAGCGAAATCAACGAACACAGTTCACGTGCATAGACTAGGCCTGTTGGCACTGTGTCTCATGCAGAATCGGTAGGGCAAGTTGTGCTTCAATCTTCCCACTCTACAGAATACACAGTCTTGCTTACGTTATAGGCAGACCCAGTTTAAACTGTGAGGTGCCGGCATTTAACAGGCCAATCGACATAACATATAAACATACATACACATACCTACATTCTACACAGACTTGCATGTGCTTGTTCTCTATCTCTGCAAACGATTTCCAATCAATTGCAACTTTATTCAGCACCCTGGCTGCCAAATCACAGCCATGCCTTTGTTATCGTCTCAATTAAGGGGGTCTCATCTTTTACTTGAAGTGACGTCATATGGATGGTTACTTATTCTTGGGCCAGGTATCTCAGCTTAGAACGTCTGAGTCCACGTGATAATTGGAGGCTCGACTGTTTGCACGCAAGTACGTATACATGTACAGAAACACACATGCATATACATAAACAGAAAAACAGAATACTGTACCATATCCATTACATCTGTGCGCGTCGGTGTCACACATCAACAATAAATCACAAATCAGTAAACTAACGGAGCTACCAAAGCTGCGAGCAACTGCGCCCGCGAAGCTGCGAACCCCACGGACTCCGCTCGGGGCATTTTGCGCGTGTCAAATTTGGCGATGTGCCGCGGCTGGCGCCGTTGTTAGGACCTACCACGTGCATGTCAGAGCTGGAGCTGCCAGTATTCCACACTTTCCCGCCCCGCGCCCCCGCCGTCGATTATGGCTCGCGTTTCCTGAAGCAAAGCGGCAACAGATATGTTTGCTCAAGCACCGCTGGGAAAGGCAACGGGAGCTCCCCCTGAAGGCACAGCCTCAGGGCAACCCCGTGCCTCCCCGATGCAAGGATTGGGACAGGGCTCCCAGCAAAGGTGCAGCACTTGAGCCACAACCTCTCTTGCTTGCTTGCTTGCTGAGGGTCTAGGGCCTCGAAAGACCCTTGGCCCGAAGGCCTACCCCACCGCGGTCCGCGAGCAGTCTGTCGGAGAGGCCCCTATTCGGCGCGGAAAGAGGCGTTCCCCCAAATCTGTCTCTCTCTCTCTCTCTCTCTCTGTCTCTCTGTCTTTTTTTCTTCCTTCCACGGGGGTTACAGCACCTTTGCTTGGAGGGCCTGTCCGCTCTCCTTGCATCGGGGGGGAGACAGGAGGTTAACCCAGGCTGTCGCCCTGGGGGAGCCTGCCTGTCTTTCCCAGCGGTGCTTGAGACCAACCGCCCGACGCTGCATTGCTCCAGTGGCCCATAGTCAGCCGTCGAAGGGGACAGGCCATAACCGAGAAGGGCACGTTTGCAGTGCTACCTCCTCACCGACGACCTAGTTGCTGCAAGGACTACCTTCCGCACCTTTCGGAAGACATCCGGGGGATCCTCTCCCACAACGACCTTGAGTGGAAGCACCTCGAGCTTCGCACCCACTATAACATCGCTGGGTGGGGGAATACCTGAACTCAGAGTCCGTGATATACCAGTGTCTCTCTGTCTCTCTCTCTCTCTCTCTCTCTCTCTCTCTCTGTAGCAACAAACATGATTTGAGCATCAGTGAAAGCTGAGCGACCGTGACCAGTCCAGTTCTTCCATGGTCCACTTTGTCGCGAACTCTCTTCACCAGAAGTCTGTGCAAGCCTGCATCTCCCAGAAACTCTTGGAGCTTCGGCCTAAGCTGGTGCGAGGATTGCTACGCCACCCCAATTGATACCCCTGTCACTTGACATTCACACTCATATCAGATGTGGACTAAGTAAACACAACGACAAGCTTTTGCAGTTACCACCACTGCTACCATGACTACGACTAGCACTAGTGTTGCCACCACCACCACCACCACCACTATCACTGCCCCTGCCCGTGCCCCTGCCACTACGACTACGATTACTACAACTACTACTACAACTCTAGCCCTGCTGTTGCTCCTCATAGCCTGCCCCTCACTCCTAGTCGTACTGCAGGTACTTCTACTGCTACTGCTGCTACTACTACCACTACTATCACTACTACTACTACTACTACTACTACTACTACTACTACTACTACTACTACGTCTTTTGCTTCTCCTACTACTCCTACCCGACCCCTGCTACTACTGCTACTACTGCTACCACTGCTACCACTGCTACCACTGCTACTACTACTGCTACTACTACTACTACTGCTACTGCCACTACTACTGCTACTACTACTGCTACTACTACTGCTACTACTACTGCTACTACTACTGCTACTACTACTACTACTACTACTACTACCACTACCACTACCACTACGGCCACTACCACTACCACTCACTACCACTACGACGACGACGACGACGACTACTACTACTACTACGACTACTACGACGACTACGACTACTACTACGACGACGACGACTACTACTACTACTAGGCTTGCGCGCCTCCTGGCGCCTGGTAGTTTGGAGGTGTTCGAGGGTACAATGTAGCGGTTTTTACAGGGTTTTCTGAAAATCGCAGTTTGGGTGTGTTGTCAAAAACTACTTTGTTTTACTAATAATTACACTTTTGGATGACGATGATGATGCTAGTGATGCTACTGATGATGATGATGATGAAGATGCTGAGAATGCCAACGATGTGCATGTAAAAATCGCGGTTCAGCATGTCGTGATTGACACCCCCACCAAACCCTCCCCTCCCAGTCGAAGAAACCACTGCGGTCGACCATAATAGTGTACTGTGCTACTGCTACTGCTACTGCCACTGTTACTGCTACTGCCAACACAGGAAAATCGAGCCACTGTGCGGGCCCCCCCGCCTGACGACCCCCCCGCACCAGTGGAAGAAAATGCTTCGAAAACACACGAAAATCGAGCCACACCGTGGGGATTGCGTTTTCGGCAAAAATCGCGGTTCAGCATGTCGTGATTGACACCCCCACCAAACCCTCCCCTCCCAGTCGAACAAAAGGCCCCATAAAACGCTCCAAAGTACCGGCACTGCCAGTGTTTTTGGCAACAAGAAAACCATTGCGGTCGACCATGTCGTTATTACCCCCCCCCCCACCCCCCCCCCCCAACCCAAAACCTCCCCGAAACACTTGAAAACAGAGCAAAACACCAGGCGCCAGGAGGCGCGCATGGGTACTACTACTACTACTACTACTGCTACTACTACTACTACTACCACTACCACTACCACTACCACTACCACTACTACTACTACTACTACTACTACTACTACTACTACTACTACTACTACTACTACTACTACTACTACTACTACTACTACTCTACTTTCTACTTTTACGTCAGTATGTTACGTTCAAGCAGTCACGTCATGTATCCTGATCTCGGCCAACGGTGTTAAGGGTTATGGAAACTTGGAAGCGTTCACTGGGGCGGCCCTGTACTCATCGCGTCCGTCCTAGTGCATGCTCAACATCACTGAAAAAGAAGCCCCACGGCAGGCAAAGATCAGGAACGAGTGAAGTTGATCCTGCGCGAAAGACAACTGGTTGTTGACGGTGCTCTGGCCAGCGATCGAACGGCCCAATGGCGGGTTCATTTTCAAGCCGATGGCATCTTCCATCAAACTCGCCGGCAGTATTTGGTCCCCGAGTTCTCGTACACACGTCTCTTGGAGATTCTTCATAGCCGACAAGAACGCGATCAGTTCAGCTCGCTGTACATCGGCATCATCTTTGGCTTGTAAGCTCATGGCAGCTTCACATACAACTCCAACGGCCATGTTCATCAACCCCAAACCCAACACGACAGCCACCAGCAAAAGCATACAGAAATGGAGAAGGTTGTCGGTGGATGTGTACAAAACCTCATCCCAACGGTCAAAAGTTGTGACCTGCCATCCTGTGAGGAAAGAGTCGGTCAAAGTACCATAGTACGACTTCGATGTAGATCCCTGAGCTGCATCTCTCCCGATCATCGACACTGCATAAATGGAGAAGGCATACAACAGAAGGAGAATCAACATGAGGGCCCAGAACACTTGTCTCCAGGTCTCAATCAATGCGAAGACGAGCTTCTGCAGTTGTGGAAAGAGCCTGAATATGCGCAGTAGCTTTGCCAAGCGAAACAAACGAAAGGCTCGCAGAACTGAGAGAGCCGAAGTGTCAAGCTCAAGCACTCCAGCATTGCGGAGCTGGACAATCACCAGGGAATCCAGGAGCGACAGAACGATGATCGTGAAATCGAAAGAGACGGAAAACTCCTTAAGGCTTCGGCAGGTAGCAGAAAGCACGCTGAGAACCCCACCGGGTGGACAAGGTGGCAAGATCCAGCACCTGACTCTTGACCTCAACTTAGCGAATCTCGCCACTTTCCTGCTGGCTTGCTGGAAGAAGTTCAGGTCACTATCCCCCTCTTCCGTCTGATGGACATAATTTAGGTTCGCTGCCAAAACGCCACGAAGAATGAACTCCAAGGTAAACACAAATGTAAAGGCTAAGTCAATCCAGTACACAAGCACGTTTCCGTCATCCTGCATCGTTTGAACTCCTACAAATGCACCGTTCACCGCGATAACGCTGCCGAACAAGATGTCTATCGGCATGAGAAGCTTCTGCTCCTCCGTATCGAGATTGAACTGGTTGGCCGTCTCTTCCATCTTCCTAACATTTAAGGAGGACTGCGTCGACTCCATCTTTGAAGCAGGCGGGGTCCATCTGACGTCATGTGTCAGCCTGAGCAAGGTGTAGGATTCTTCTGCACGAGCATAGAGAATACTTAGCGCATCATATGCAAAAGCACACATGCTTCGGCCATGGCGATCGACCTTCTCCATAGAAGCTTCCAGTTGTCGCAGACTGATACAGAAGAACAGCAGGTCCACTGGCCTCAAAGCTGTCGCAGCTTTGTGTTTCTTGACACTATTGGCCACACTCTGTGCAAAGTAGGACTGCAGTTCGATGATGCCAATGGCCTCAATAATGCCATCGATTTCTATGTCGTTGTTCTCCTCAAGTGCAGATACCAGCATGTCAAAGTCCTTGTCAGTAAGATTCAAGATTTGAATGATTTCCTTGATGCCACTGTCTTGCAGAGCTTCGAAGAATTCTTCCTTCGCTATGTATCGGGGGTTCTTGAGCAGGTGCGTCCCGTGTTTGAGCAGCTGCTGACGGAAAAGCTCGAGAGCCCCCTGCTGCTTTAAAAGACGTTCTGCTCCTACCATACGAACTTGACGAGATTCCAGCTTGAAGGCGGTGTTACACAAAATGCCGACCACCAGGTTCATGATGCCGAGCCCAGTCAGGCACACACATATCAACAGAACAATGGCAACTGCTCCACCATGAAGGCCCCCAAGCTGAAAGGCGGCAACTCGCACTAATTCCACCCACTTGTCGAAAGTCGATAGCTGCACCAGTGTCCACATGGCTGTTGGAAGCGATGTAAAAGGAAGCGAGGCATCCTTCACAGCATCCACATTCCACTGTGCCATTCGCACCAGAAGCACCGAAAACATGTAGATGCTCAGCGCCAACAATAGAACTGCCCAGAACAGTGTTTGCAAAGAGCTCAATATGCCCTCCACGAGCATGGCAAGCTGACGAAATGTGCGTAGCAAGCGAACCATCTTGACAAGCTTAAGTAGCCGGTAGAGGCGTGCGAGGGCAAACACTCCGCCGCTGCCCAAATCGCCGAGTATCCATGTGTCCACAACGCTCAGGGAAATCACCATCATATCAAGCTGCAGCCAATGGTCAGAGACTATCATGGCACCAAATTGCCGCAGTCCACTGAACACAGCCCTCAAAACAAGCTCTATGATGAAGGCCACGAGGAAAACATTGTCCAGAATCTGCCACACCACATCATCAGCGCACCGGCAATCCGTCTGAATGCCCATAGAAACTGCATTAGCGAACACAATCATGCCGAAGAAAGCATCAAACTTTGCCCACCTTTTGGACTTCTTCAGTTCATCCGTCACTTCTACCATCAATTGAATTTCATCCGGTGGCAGCTCAAAGATCGTTGTTGCCTGCACCCTGGGTCGCAAAGTAAAGTGGCGCCAGCGATAGACTGCATTTCCTACCATCGCCTCCGCGGCGATGTCGCCTGGACCATCAAAATATGCGAACATCTTGGCAGGGACTGGCACCTGCAAGCCGTCGGCTGAGGCAGTAGCCTGCTCCACGCCATCGACTGACACAGATATCACATGTTGCACCAGCCGAAAACTCACCCGAACAAGCCGATTGCGGGGAATGGGGGCTGTTGCCAATTTTGCACGGAAAGAACCTTGCCGCAAGAAGAAATACAATTTTGTAGACCCAGGAGGTATGCAAACACGAGGCAGCTGGCTTCTGGTGGATCCCCCTACAGAGAAATGTGCCACACCCCTGCGCTCTTTGGCGGTTTGATGCAAAACCAATTCGAAGGATAGTTCGAAATTGTTGGACGCGTCCAACTTCTTGGCGACCAGTCCCCTGCTAAGATGCTGCAGCGTTGTCCGGATAAACGTGAAAGATGTTGCTCCCGGCGTTGCAGAGAAGGGGTCTTGAGCTGATTCTGCTTCCATTTGCTCTTTGCTAGGTCCTTCTTCCAATAGTGCGGCAAAGCGGGCCTCATCTGCTGACGCCGGCATGTTCTCGTCCTCTTCCTCCTCCGCCAGCAAAGTCCTATCTACATCTAAGTCCTCTTCCATGCCTTCGTCCTTGAAGTCCATATAATCAGCCAGGCGTGCTCCAGCTGTGCTCATTGTCCCACCGGCTTCAGGCTCGAACGCCACATTGGGAGTCTCAGAGGCGTTAGGCCGAGCCTCTCCAGGCTCGATGGGCTCGTTCACCAAGCTTGCAAAGGGTCTGGAGTCCATGGGAGTTCATTAGCTCATTAGCTGCTGCAGTGCGCATTCCTTTGGCCTGAACACTCGCAGCTACAATGTCACCGCATGGGTCGTAAAAAGAGTCTGGCAAGCCCAGCCAGTGCCGCTTGCCGTCAATCCTTCCACTCGGCACTCTTTAGCGCCTTGTCTTCGCAAAAGCTGCTACGAGTTCTCAACTTTGCTGTCAGTCTTCTTTTGAAGAAATCTGACTGCCAGGCACATGTCGTTGAGGGGCCCAGGGTGGAAAGATTCTATGTAGCCTCGTCAGCTACACCCTTGCCGCATCCCTCTCCACTCTCAATCATATACGCCAGGGCCACCTCATTCTGACACCTGGGTGACACGGGCCTACCGCCAAAGCCCTCCTGAGCTGCACAGATATCGACCACCTTCGACCTGATTTACACGGCGCAGGGTCACCGCCCGTCGGAGCCTTGACAGAGCATGGCTTCACAAGCAAGATCGTCATCCACAGCGGAGCATGGTTGCACTACTGGTAAATCCTTGCCGAGACCCGGACAGCCTTTTGCTTGGTGTTGACAGCACCAAGCCTTTTTCTCAATTGACCATCCCGCCTGCCAGTTGGCGTAGCCTCCGCGCATTAGGCTCAGGACTCGTTCTGCTCACAGGTTCTCATCTCTAGGTGCAGCTGTTACTCAAGAAGACTGAGAGCAGGATGCTTCCCCGCTCAAGCCGGCTAATCAAATCAAGGGTGAAACCTGAGCCCTGCAACATCGACACAGGAGAGCCATGAAATTCGTCGAGGGTCCATGCCGAGGCCCGATACTGATGCCTTGTTTGGTCGCCGACAGGCTGCAGGTAATTACCAAAGCAGCTGCACCCTCGTCCGCGGCTTGTGCCGCGGACAGAAGGCAGCCGTAGAACAGCCGCTTAATGTTTCTCGAGTGGTGGACCTTCCCCTACAAAGCACAAGCAATGCTCTCGGAAGCCTGCGCTGCAGTCGAACTTGGCACTGACGGTGTAGTGTACATCGCGAACGTCCTTCGAACTGCATGTTTGGATGGCTCGAATGACGCTTTGATTACCATCCAACCTCCTCTGCAGTAGGCCTTGCGGCAGTGAAGTATCCATCTTCCTCGATGGTCAAAACATGTGTCGTCGTTCGCTGAGTTGTGGTGTGACGGGAATTTTCCTGGGGACCGTTTTCCAGGTCTCTACGGCTCTGCGGATTTCATTGCTGTGGATGACCACTTGACGGCAGCTGCTCCGACTTCACTACAAATGTTTCCATGTCGGCCTCCCATTCTTAGCCCAATGCCGGGCTGCAACCTTGCTGTTGGTGCCAGCAACACCATGCACGCCTTCCGCCGGAACCAGTGTATGCATAGCATTTGTGAAAAGGATGGGAAAGGAGCATCTAAGAGAGAGAACTTTAGACACTGGCAGACACCAAACGAGCGGAGTCAACCGGGAGCAACGACAGCAAGAGCATCGCCACAAAAGGAGCAACTAACCAACACGATGCCACAGACTTCTGTGAGCCTTGAGGATGACCAGGCTTGTTGCGAGGCCTGCCGTCAGTCTGATAAATGTTGCATAACGTGCTACTGTATGCCCCATCGTTTGACATCCGGCACCATAGTTCGAACCATGCCAAGTGTGACAGATCGACACGAACAGATGCTCGCCACCCCGTACGGAAGTAGCATGCCGCTTGCACAGAAAGCACAGCGAGAATGCTTGTGGATTCAGCAGCGGAAACATGTCGGTCTTGAGCTCAATACAGGCGTGAGTAACGGATTTGCGCAGTGGTAACATGTCATCTACCAGAGACACTACAAACAAACAAACACAGCAGGACACATGCTCGCGCACGCAGGCAGACGCACACGAGCCGTTCGCCTGCCTGCCTGCCTGCACCATGGTCATCTGCTGTTTTAGAAGCCCTTTCTGTCATGTGTTCAGTACAGCAAGGTAACATTGACATAAGTTAAGATTAAGTCTTGTTCTCATTCATGTGCGACATGTGCGACGCATTGGGTTCCGAACCATCTGGGTCGAAGGAATCGGGGGCTTATTGTCGACCATGAGGCAACGTCGGGTTCTGAGCTTAGCCCCCATGCTGGTCATGCTGCCAAATACGGACTTACTCTACTCCGAATTCGAAGGTTGCGCTGTTCCATTGCAAAACGACGAGCTATGCTCACGGGTTGCCGCCCGGTCTGTTCATGCTTAGATCCTTGGCAAGCAGGAGTGCGTGCACACCTACACATACCTACATCCGCAAGGTCTCAGAATTCTAGAAAAGCAAGGGCAATGGCTGACCCCCCCCAGGTGTCGGCCCAAGGAAGCCTCGCAGTCGTAGAGACAACCTCGAGAGGCGTGGGCACAGCACCAGGCCTCGCAGCGGAACCGGTACGAGAGCTCGTGCAAGCAGAAACATAGCATTTCGAACTCCCTCACCTTCTTGCTTCCAGGCCAGCCCGCTCTCCAGTTCGCATACCTAAGCAACCGCTGTTGACAGCCCCCTTCAAACCACGAGCATCTGACGGCATCTAAGTGCAACGAGGGTGCCCTGCATCACAGTCGTACATCTCTTGGTCCGAATGGCACCCCAAACTGTAGGCTTCGCAGCACCAAGCCTGGCAGATCATGTTCTCTTTTCGGCTGACAGCCGCATCACGTGCTTCGTGGCCATGCCTGCTGGCTTTCGGCTTGCAAGCATGACGCGATTATTCCGGCAATGCTGCCCATGGCCATGGTGTGATCACATGCTCCAACCGTCGCCTTCTTCTCAGCTGACCACCGTTGGTGCCAGTGGTACAGGTCAGTGGAGCAATCGAAGCTGCTTTGCTCCACTGCAGGCCTTGTCCATTCACTACTCCGAGTTGGGAGTTGCGACTGTGTGACAGAAAATGAAGGGGTCGTATTGCCATGTTGAGCCAAGGTTCTGCGTGCAACCTCGCCCATGATGTACACAACACCATTCCTGCTCGCAGACTTCATGCATCACGACAAGCCGCAGCTTGACAATGCTTAAAATGATGTCCATGAGGCCATAGTGTGTACTTCGGATAACCGTATAACCTCGCGAACGATCGAACGGTGTTTCTCGCACTCATGCGAAGTTCTAGTCGCACGGTCGGCTGGGGACTGGGATCTCCAAGATGCGACAGGGCACGTCAAGCGAGGATTTATGCACGATAGGCCGATAGGCGGCGCCGACGGCATCTTAATTGCTTGGCAGCTCCAGTCTTGTTTCTGGACTTCAAGATGGTCAGGACTCAGCAATCCCCCCGCTGAACCCTTGAACTCTTGAATACCATCGATGTTGCAAGATGTTGCAAACAAGAGTCTACATAGCAATGGTTCGAGTATTCACTTGTGGCCGTCGGGGCAAACGCGCGAATCGTCGATATCTGGCCGATGGAGGACGTGGTTGATCGAAAAGACTCTGAAATTGATACCACACAGCTAGCTCACTCCGCTTGGACAGCAAAGCGGCTTGCACTCCGACTCCAGTGGTGTGCGTCAGTGACCCAGACAGGACCAAGTCTTTCAACATCAATCGGTGAGAGGAGGTATTTCGGTTTCCATAGCGTCTATCAATAACAACAAAAATCTTGACTATACGAAGGAAAGGGCATTCGTCAAAACAGCCACGAGCCAACATGTGCAGTGATTGCTTGCAACACAAACTCAGAAGCATGAGCTGGTTTAACGACAGGCGCCAGCACACGGTACGAAACAGTCAGCTTACAGCCGCGGCAGATGGCACTGCAGCTTCACGCAGGCAACAGCTTCATCAAGCGAAGGGGCGGGTGCCACCAGTTTTACTGCCGGAACGGTAGTGCAGGCCGATCCGTCGCAGCGACCGCTCTGGTAGTTGACAGGTTAACCTACAGCTGAACCTCACTAGTTTGTCTTTCCGTCCCATCAGCAGTGCCGAACGAATAAAAAACGGAGAGAACATGACAGTTGAGTGCATCTCTCACAGTCAGTGTTTTGTCGTCCCGTCTCTGCATTCCTCCTGCGGCCTATGCCAGCAGTCTACTACGCATGGACCTTGCCAGAGCTTCAGCAAGAAGACCGCATGAAAGTAAACAATGGATGCGCTCAGCACTGATATGCAAAACAGTGTTCACTTGTGTTCTTGAAAACACTAACCTTGCTACTGCGCAGTCCCACTTGGCACGTAATGAGACTCCGGATGGAGCTCAACACACCACAGGCGAAAAGGAAACACCTTGTCAAGAAAACCAGTTGCCACAAGCATAATGTAAAGGGAAAACTTGTTGCAACTTGGAACTGCATCGTCGTTGTATTCCAGCTGGAATGGCTTCCCAGGTCAGGCTTGAGAGTAGCCAGTGTACTGTATCCATGCTTGCATGCTGTGCCAACACAGCAGCAAGGTTGTTGGCAGTGGAGATCTTCAGCAATCGAATCTTGACCAAACTCAGATCTTGCATGTGCCCTCGAGTGTGTCTGCAGGTTCACTTCCGTTAACCAGAGTCAGTCTAAGCGCACGTTACAACCTGCTACTGGTAGCAGTGTCCCGCACAGAGATCCAAAAAGAAGATGTCCGGCCGGCTGATTGTTTCATGTTCAGTCGCGGCGTGTCAGATTTCAGCAGTGATCCGCTAGTAACCTCCTCCTTCGCTCACCCATTCACTTGCAGAAGAACCCAGCCTGCTTCGCTGTAGACCATCCGACTGCCCAATTCGATAAGCCATTGTCGCAATCAAACTTTTGAACCTGCATGGAAGTGGATCTTTCTCTATGTGACGGATCCAGCAAATGAGACCCGGCCAACGTACGAGCCTCATGGAATGGAAGGAATTGTTATAGCAAATGATGGCTACTGAACGTGAAGTCGGCGAATCCGGAAAAGCTGTCGTCCGTGCCTGAGAAGCTCCCTGCATTGGACATCCACGGTTTTCGTGGAGACCTGAGCTTTGCAGGAAAGAGCTCGAAGGTCAGATAAATCAATAGATCCGTTAATGGCGTTGCTATCCTCACCGGTGCTGGCCGAATGCTTTGGCGTCGTCGCAGTCTCAAGAGGGAAGCTCGGAGGGTGCTCGAAACAAGTCGAAGCAAGGTCAAACAAGTTAGTGCCTGACAGCACCAGACGGTTTTCTGCGCTGGCCAGCGACTGGCCTCAGCGGCAGAGCAAGTCAGAAGAGTCAGCATCTGACTTGAATTCTCACTGATGTCTGTTCTGCGGCTGCTGCGGTGCCCTTCAGACAGTCAAAGGGGCGACCTCGGACATGTGCGTGCACATCGGCGGATCGCTCTGCCGGAGACATATGCCGAGCCAAAACCAGGGCTGCCCGACCCTCCCATCTACGTCTCTGTACTTCCCCGACGTCTCACTACTCAATCCAGGCGATGCGCATGTACAGACGATGCTAGGCCTTTGCTCAACACCCCTCTTAATGAGAAACGATGCCGCTAAAACTCAATGACAACGCACATTCGATCAGCTGAAGAAACGGTCCCCCAACTTCCTAAGAAGGACAGGGGTGACGTAAGAACCCAGAAGCCGTAAGCACATGGCAGGCTTCTGCCATAATGCATGCGTGTGCATTTTGCTCCAGCTTGACTGTGGAATAGTGAAAACAATTCTCCGCATCATGCCACGGTATGCTGAAAGTAGCTTCTCTGGTTGCAAGCTGCCGCAGTGCATGGCTTCTGTAGAGGTCCAGCGTTGACCAGGAAAGCTTCGTGCCAGGAGCCTTTCCTCAAGCTCCGCTCGCCCTTCTGCCAGGCGAAGGCCGTGTGAGCACAGGTCCCTCTGAACCTCGAGCAGGCCTGCATCGGGGACTTGTAGCCGGCCATGCCCGGTTGAAGAGGTGAAGTATGTGAAGTTCTGTCTGGAGTTCGCAAAACTTCTGAACTTAGAAGTATTGACCTCCATCCACTGTGCTGCACACAAGCCGGAAAGAATGAGTGCCGTTGCTCGCGCCGCATAAGCAACTTCGGACAAGACCGCCGGATGCCCCCCAACCTTTAAGTGCTTCTCCGGCAACCTTGCATAGGATACCCAGTTCTCCTTGCCCCAATATGCCACATGCTGGGCCACCCGCAAACGAGGGCAGGTGTGCTCAAGCGCTACACCTCCCAAGTGTCCATGTCGGATAGACCACACATACTGCGCCCGGTGATAAGCCCAAAGCAGAGAACCCATCATTGAATGGAAGGAAGGGCACTCAGCACCTTCAGAGAGTACTCGAACTCTGGCCAAGAACCGGACGAAGGCCGAGTCAAAGTCCTGACCGGATGAATTCTTCTCGGGCTCTCCATATAGCCAGCCAATGTGACGTCGCAGGGACTGGAAGTGACGTCGCTTTATGACCAACGGAAAACCGTCCATAAACTCGGCTTGCAGCGGCAGTCCGAGTGCAGCTACAGTGTTGGGAAACTGTGCATTGTCGGCATGTGCCCAGATGACAGGCCGAACGTGACTGCTTGCGGGTCCTGCTGGTTGGAACATGAGCTGTGGTAAGCCGAATGTTGTGAGAACGACGTCGCTATCACAAATTGCGATGAACTGGGCCCTGGAGTACTTGTCAGCCCAACACTCTGTCCACTCCTTCCAAACAAGTCCACGCTGCCGTTGGGCTCCTCCTACATGGCCGAAGGGATCTACGTGACTGAAGGATGTTTGCAAGTTCACCAAGAATGCAGGCATTGGCTGCAGAATACATCGGACCCATGTTGGAAGCAAAGTGCAGGCGTGCTCATCTTCGAGGCTGTCGCCATCCAAAACAACGACTACTCCCCAGTCAGCTGGCCAAAAGAAAGCAACAGAATGCAACAAATGCATCAGCTCCTGCATCTTTGCATGGTAAGTGCGCACGAAGAGATCCACAGAGAGACCCGGCCTGGGAGATGGAGAGAGACCACCCCGCTCCACTAAATTCGGTTGTAGTTGCGCAAGCGTGCTTGGTGGCAGGGAGTTTTCAGTAGGGGTCCAACCACTCGCTCCTGCAGCCGCGGGCGTGCAGCAAAGCTCGTAAGTATAAAGAGCATCGAAGCACCACGGAGTGCCGGTGCCCGCAGGCACGCAGCACATCTCAGGCGTTGTCCCCGACCAGCAATTCCGCGCATCTGAAACATGTGAACCAGACTTCCCAGCTCCACGAAAGAATTGACTTAAGGCATAATGGTGAAAACTACTCTGTGAAGGGTCCTGTTCCGCTATCAGGGCATAGCGTCTACGGTACAGATTGTGGAAGCTCAATCGCGAACCTTCGCGAAGTGTATTTGGTGGGTACGGGGCTTCTGCTATGGCAGAGAGGTCCAATTTGTCCTTGCCATCTGGGCGCATCCAGCGCTGGCCAAAGGACGCCGCATCCGTAAAGCCAATGCGGCTCACTTTTGATGACCTTGGACCCTTTGGCGTATACCAGCCCAAGCACTGCCCTGGTCTGGCAAACAAAGGTTCAGATAGTTTCAGCCGTGTCGGCCGCCCACGTGGTGAACCAGGACTTGCGGTTGAGGTGGCCGTCACTTTCCAAACTGCTTCCCCTTGTGCCTCCGCATGCTCCAACATAACAAACATTGGCAACACTTCCTCAGCATCATCACCGTCAGCGAAAAGTGCTCTAACGGCGTGAACGGAACCTGGAAACTGGAAACAAATGCCGAGATCGAGCACGACAGAGCCAACATCCTCGCCTTCGCTGTCCTCGCTGGAGGCCCAGGACACGAGAGGATTCCCAACTTCCAGAACTTCCACTTGAAGAGGCAGAACTCCAAGCAAACCCCTGCAAAGATTCATGCTCGGACAGAAGCTTGAGGCTCATGCAAACATGCAGTCGCAGCAGGCGTGTTGTTGGAAGATTCTACTGTACATACAGCACGGTTCTCCGACATCTGACATGGAGCTAATGCTGCACTCCGCAGACGTATGATTCCACAAGCTCTTTTGGTTGCTTCTGCCGCTCGACCACGCAGGGCAAGTCGGAAGCCGAGCAGCACAAGCTGGCTGGCTTCGTGGACGTCTCTGACCCGAAAATTGGAAACTCTACTGATCATCAGCTGGCACCGGATCCCAGGCATTGCGCATGTCAAGGGGTCCATCCTCCTGCAACAAGGTGGGTTTTGCCGGGTTTCGTGCGATGGGCATGCAGCCAGTCTGAACCTGGAGACGTGTGCAACGAAGGCATCATCAAATCAGGCTGTCGTCAATCTTTGCCAACAAGCGGCCGTCATGATGATCATGCCTGTGAGCTCGCCTTGTTGGGACAGGAACTGTGCCAGTCTCTTGTGCATGCTTTTCGGGTCCGAAGTCGTGCGGCCGCCGCTAAGCCAATAAGCCGACCCGGTAGAAGGCCTTTCTCGGTTTGTCTGCTTTGCAACTTGCTTGTCTTGCATTGCCTTGCGTCATATCATATTAATCATACATGTTCCTGCCTGCTTGTTGCTTCCGTCTCAGAGTGCGATGCTCTGCCGGGCAATGCTTGTCGAACAGATCGCTCACGAATTAGATGGCCAACATCCCCCCATCCCCAAGGAGAAGCCGATAAGCCGATGAAGAGCTTCCACCGGGAAACCTGGCCTCCCATCGGTAGCAGCAACAGTAGGAGGAGGGGGTAAGGGCAGGGGTAGGAGTAGGAGCAGGAGGAGGCGGGTAGCAGTAGGAGTAGTAGGAGTAGTAGGAGTAGCAGGAGTAGGAGCTGTAGCAGTAGGAGCAGGAGGACGAGGAGTGGGAGTAGGAGTAGGAGGAGGAGTTGAAGAAGTAGGAGTAAGAGTAGGAGTAGTAGTAGTTTTTGTAGTAGCATTAGCAGTAGCAGTAGCAGGAGGATCAGTGTTAGTAGTAATTAAAATTAATCGCAGCAGTAAGTAGCAGCACTGGAGTAGTAGTAGCCGTAGTAGTAGTAGTAGTAGTAGTAGTAGTAGTAGCAGCAGCAGCAGTAGTGTAGTTGTCGTAGTAGTAGCAGTAGTAATATTTGTAGGAGTAGGAGCGGGAGCGGGAGCAGGGGCAGTAGCAGTACTAGCAGTACTGCTCCTGCTACTGCTGCTGCTGCTGCTACTACTACTACTACCACTGCTGCTGCTACTGCTACAACAACAACTACTACTACTGCTGCTGCTGCTACTACTACTACTACTACTACTACTGCAACTACTGCAGCAACAACAGCAGCAAAAACAAAAACTACTGCTACCAGTACTACGTGTGCTAGTACTGGTAGCGAAAACTGCGAGTGAGAACATTGCAGGAGGTTGACATGCTCCGATTTGCACAAATGTTCATATCGACTTGCAAATCCAAAGCATGAAAAATCATGAAAATCAAGAATCATTGCCGAGTACACCCAGCACGGCATCCGACACGATAATCTGTCAATATAACCTTTGATGAGATTTTCTGTCGCGACATTTTCAGTTCAGAAATATTCCCTGCATTCTCTAGACTCTTTGATTGCGCAGGCCTGGTCAGTACATGGTGGGGTACGTAGGGAATCTAGCTCATCGAGTGTATGTCTAGCGGAATCAAGCAAACCAGGGAATACTGCGTTCGTGGAAACAGGGACCTGCAGAAATCAGGATTGATTCCTGTAAATATGGCGTTTGGGTTAGCGCTATAAGTTCTAAAGGGGGAGGACTGAATACACACATTTTTCTTGTATACTTGCCTGCGGATTCGACGGCATCAACACTGGAGTCTGCGCTCCCTCACGAGGTGCAGCTTTGGCCACCAAGGTTGCACTTAATACTGAATACTGTAGGCCGTGGCATGCAAAACAGGTCGAGGATTTGGTGTGCATACGATAACCAGTCCATGCAAGGGTGCAGCGTGTGCAGCATAAACTCTAATCAACAACAGGTGCAGCTGGAGTGACGTGCTTGGCTGTAGATCTCCTTGACGTCTTCCCAGTCTTTGCCTCCAACCTCCGTGTTGTCGGGGTGCTCGAATTGATTGTAAAGAGCGAGCGCTAGTCCTCTCCTTGGCTGTATCACAATGACAATGAATTTCAGACATGTCCCGAAACACAGTCGCAGTATGTCGCAGTGCAATGCGGACCGTGAGAGCTGTCGCAGCAAGCATGGATGTTGCTTTCCAAGACGCGCACGTGGATAAAGCTCCAGCAGCTGATTGTGCCTGAAGTTACAAACAATCGGGAAAATGCAGCTAGCAAAGCTAATGTTGGTCGGCTTTCGTAAGTCTTGTCAAATATGTCTATGTCTATATCTCCATCACTTCAAAAGAAAACCACCGCTGCCTGACTGTCTGAAATTTCCGGTCCGTGA